GGTGTAATTGCCGTACTACTTCTGTTTTTTTTTTTTTCTTTTTTTTTTTTTGCGTTTGTTTCGATATAACCAGTTCATTCTTTGGCTTACGACTTATTTCCAAGTGATTCCCCAATCTGTTCATATTGGTCTCTAGGTTTTCTTTACTCCGCTGATTCTGTTTACGGGGGCGTTTTGACTGTTGGATGAAAGGATGGATAGGACTTATAGCTAGCCTGTCTTGCTGTTGTCTGGACATTCTGCATATATTTTATAGCCTGTACGGGTTGCTGTTTTTTTGATGATCAGGATAATTGAATGAGAAATGTGAAGCTTGTGAACTATGGCTGTTGTTTGGTTTTTGGCTCTTTTTACTTAACTGTCCTGTGTAATTGCAAGAGTTCACGCTCTTGGATAACCATCGATCAGGTCTTCTGTATGAATATAGTAGCTATCTAGTCACCAAAAATCAGAATTGCAGATTTGTATGAGCTAAGCTGACATTCGACGCCAAAGATGAGGATGTAACAGATAAGCATTGTTCATTAGACTTTATTCTTCAGACACATGATTCGTGAAATCAACATAATGAATTTGACACTGAACAGACACAAACTCAGCCCAAACTAGTTCAAAACGGAATTGTAACGCCTGGCCTCGCCTTGCCGAACAACGGTAACGCTTCTAACACCGGGGTCGTGGGAAGGGTGAATATAAGAGGGACGTGTATAGGACCTGCAAGGTAGCCGCTTGAGAGAGAATGATGTGAGATGTATAAACGTGGAATATCTCTCATTCGCTCAATCCAAGAGAGATGAAGAACGGGGGTAGTATGCAAAAAGGAACTGGTATAGCAATATATGGTTTCAAGGATAGAGGGCAGGGATTTGTTATTTGGCCTAAGCGCCTTCGCTGCCAAATTCCTTGGTCCACTCCGAGTTCCTCTGGAGGTCTTCTTGACTGACGGTGGGTCTCGAGTTGCGAACTGCTTTAATAAAGTCTTTCAGAACGAGCGGTGGCTCCAGCAACTGATCTGCTTCCACACTCGTCCATGTCATCTCCATTGCACCTGCGTCTCCTGGAGAGCATGGTGTTAATTTCTCTTGCCCTTCAACCAAAACCTGGTGACGAGTTAGCCATCTTGCGGTTCAACTTGTAAGCCGAACTATGTGGTCTTACCTTCTTGTAATGCGTGGCTGTTTGAATTTTACGGATCGGTTGCATAAGTGCATCCTGAACAGCGATGCTAATATCACTGCCGGAGTAACCCTCGCTCATCTCCGCCAATGTTCTGTAATCGGCTTGTGTCATTTCACACGGTGTTTGTCCGACAGCTAGCATGAACATTTTCATTCGTGCATTGATGTCGGGAAGACTGATGTGGACTCTCCGCTGGAATCTGCGACGAATAGCCGCATCTAATTGCCATGGAATATTCGTTGCGCCCAGAATTAGAACACCCCTAGAATCCTTTCCTACACCATCCATCTGAACCAGCAATTCCGTCTTGATACGGCGAGATGCCTCTGATTCTCCCTCTCCACGAGGGCCACAGAGGGCATCCACCTCATCGATGAAGATAATAGCGGGCTTGTTCTCTCGGGCCATATTGAAGAGCTGCTTCACGAGCCTGTTATGCGTCAGAAAGTGCCCGAAACACATGCGCTGAGTCCGCCCAGAGACCGTACCTTTCACTCTCACCCATCCACTTCGATACTAGATCACTGCTACTGACACTGAAGAATGTACTGTTTGCTTCCGTGGCCACGGCTTTGGCAAGGTACGACTTTCCGGTACCGGGAGGCCCGTAAAGCAAGATGCCCTTCCATGGCTGTCGTTTCCCCGTAAACAGATGGGGAAACTTAATAGGTAATATGACCGCCTCCTTCAATGCCTCCTTGGCGCTCTCGAGACCTGCTACATCCTCCCACTTCACGTTCGGCTTATCCGACAAGATCGCACCAGCAAGGGCGCTGCGTAGCTTCTTCGAATCAGCGTCTTCGTTATCGTCCTCATTCTTGCTAAAACCACGCATATATCAGCACCCACTATCCATACAGAAACAGTATGGAGACGACTGGAATACGTACTCGCCCTTCCCACTGCCTTGCGCCACCTTGCCGTTGGCGCCTACCGCACTTGGCTTCTTCCGACTCTCCGTTGCTTCAAGGTGGGTCTTGAGCTTCTCTGCGCGATCTAGATATTCGCCCGTTTTCGCGCGAATCATCTCCTTGGACTTGGGGTTCTTCTCCCATTTCAGGGCGAGCATGAATAGCTCCAGTGCGGCGTAGTAGCCCTGATAAGCCTTCTCGTACTCGCCCGAATTGTCGAGCTCGATGGCCTTCTTCACGGCGTCAATCGCCCGCCCCAGAAAGTCCGTGTTACTCATGATTGTTCGGGGTTGTTTGTGCGTACTCCGGGTTTGCTAATGGAGCCCGTAGGGGGGATCGTCTCGGTGTGTGGAGAGAGGGAGGAGGCCGGAGGCGGGGAGTGATTGAGGTCTGCCTGAATGTGTTGGAATGCGGGAAACGGATTGGGGGGTAAGGTGCGAAACAGGACAGATCAAGACTAGACAAAAGCCGGACCCATTCGACTCTAGAAAATGGACCAAGAGGAATACAAGCAGGTATCAATCGACCGAGTTCTTGGCGGGATGATTGGAGGGGAGAAATGGCAAAAGGCGGCCTAGAGTGATGTTTACCGTCTTGCATTTTCTGCCGTTTCCGCTCTCTATTTTGCCTGAAGTCCCCGCCATAGAAACCACTTCTAGTACGGAGGAGTTGATATTAAACCCACACCACTGATCTATTACTACCACAATTGTCGATACTCGCTTGCATAACTTTGTCACAGTAATAACCATGGCGGATGCACAGAAACAGATGCAGGCACTCTCGGACGAGTTCCAAAAATTACAGACCGGTATGTCAGGGAACCCTTGGCCGGAACTCCCCCCACTACGGCACCGATGTGACCACCATGCGCCCGATACTGACACGGCAGTCATCCTTAGAACTGGATAGTTTTGTCGAAGCTCGCCAGAAGCTTGAATCACAGCAACAGGAAAATCAGGGAGTCCAGAAGGAGTTTAACTCATTGGATGACGATGCGAATATCTACAAGCTTATCGGGCCGGTCCTGTTGAAGCAAGATAAAAACGAAGCTCTGATGGCTGTCAATGGACGTCTTGAGTTTATTGAAAAGGAGATGTGCGTTAAAGAATTTAGTCTGGGAAGGTTAACAGTTGAGGTTGTGCTGACAGAGTGAGCAGTAAACGGATTGAGGGACAAATCAAGGAAAATCAAGACAAGAGTGACAAGATGCGAGCAGAGGTGAGGGGTGTCTCTGGATACCAACTAAGCACAGGGCCAAGAGCTGTTTCTGATCCTTGTTCACAGATGCTTCAATACCAGAGCCAAATGCAACAGCAAGCGGCAGCTACATCCGCCTCCGCTTGAGCTTGAACACATATTTAACCCGTTTCATAAAAATGGAGTCTTCGGCGCTTACAGGTCAGAGCGCAGAAGCAAGCCCACACATCTGGGAAAAGGAGTTGGTGTGCTTGAGCGTGACCCCATTTGCCAGTTTTGGGGTTACAGGTCACTTTGCGCACCGTGGCCGTGGTGGACATTGACCACGATGATGCTACATCGGTTAGAAACGGCTACCAACTGGGGCAGGGGTTCTGCGAACTCGGTTGTTTGATCATTTGGCAGATCGCAAGATGGACGTGTTGTGGAATTGTTCAATGGCTGGTTTGAGTTGGCGATGGCACAATTGTCGTAATACGATATTCTCTACCACATAACACGGTTGGATACCTTGCAGTAGCTGTACTGCTTCGCTGTCAGACAATCATCCATTTCTGTACAGTCAATGTAGTTCCTAGGGAGCCTTTGCGCTGCATAACGCAATGTATTAATGCTTTATGAGCCTTCTTATGCGCTTTAAGAGGATAAGATGAATGTATGTCCATGGCCTCTAAATTCTATTTATGCTACATCGACCTGTCAATCATTTGAACTCCATAACTTTCATGTATTCATAACCCGCTCGAATCATCTCTAGATGTGGCGTTAGGACGATCTATATATTAAAATATCTTTATGCCTTAACCAGGAGATTCTGTCCGGACATCTCCTCAGGCTGCTCGATGCCCATGGCAGCGAGAACGGTTGGTGCGACGTCTCCAAGCACGCCACCCTCCTTCTTGAGGCTCCAGCCCTCAGGGGCATTGGCCATGATGAAGGGAACCTTATTGGTGGTGTGAGAGGTCTTGGGTGTGCCCTTCTCAGTGAGCATTTCCTCGGCGTTTCTGGAAGAAAAGAAGTCAGCAGGGAAGCTCGCCCTACGGATGATCTACATGGATGGTGAACGCTTACCCATGGTCCGCAGTGATGAAGAGGACATAGCCGTGCTTCTTGCAGGCTTCATAGATGGCACCGATGGCCTTGTCGGTAGCAGCAACACCCTGAATGGCAGCTTCATACTTACCAGTGTGGCCAACCATGTCAGGAGGAGCAAAGTTGTTCATGACGAACTCGAACTTGCCCTCGCCAATGCGGTCGGCCATCTTCTGACCGACGGCCTCAGCGCTCATCTTGGGGTCCAGGTCGTAGGTCGCAACCTTGGGGGATGGAATCATGTCGCGGACCTCGCCAGCGAACTGCTTCTCAATACCACCGTTGAAGAAGAAAGTGACGTGAGCGTACTTCTCGGTCTCGGCAACGTGGCACTGCTGAACATCCTTCTTGCTGAGCCATTCAGCGAGCACGTTACCCATGTGCTGAGGGGGGAAAGCAAGAGGGAATGTGTAGTCGGTCTTATACTGGGTCATAGTGGTGATGTGGATGTTCTTAGGGTAAGGGAAGTCGGGCTTAGGGGTGCGGTCGTAGTCACCGAGCAGCTGGGTGATTTCGCGAACACGGTCGGAGCGGTAGTTGAAGAAGAAAAGAGTGTCATCATCTGTCAATTTTCGTCAGCCATCTGCACACTGCGGATCGTTGAATAGGCCATCATACCCTTGACCCGGCTCTCCTCGCCACCAACGATGATGGGCTTCAGGAATTCGTCGGTCTCATCCTTTTCGTAGCGCTCGTTGACGGTCTTAACAGGGTCGGAGGACTCCTCGCCCTCTCCCGAGACAATGCCCTTCATGGCAATTTCAACACGATCCCAGCGCTTGTCGCGGTCCATGGCCCAGTAGCGTCCAACAACAGTGGCGATTTCACCAATGCCGATTTCCTTAGTCTGATCAAGAAGCTGCTGCATATACTTGGTAGCACTCTTGGGCTCGGTGTCACGCCCATCGCCGAAGAAGTGGATGAAGACCTTGGGAATCTCCATCTCCTTGGCAACCTTCAACAGGCCGATCAGGTGGGTGATGTTGGAGTGGACACCACCGTCGGAGACGAGACCCAGAAGGTGAAGACGACCATTGCCTTCCTTGGCACGTTTAAAGGAGGCAACGACATTCTCTACTTTGTTCAATTCGCCCTTCTTGAGGGTTTGGTCAATACGGACACTGTCTTGCCAGACCACACGTCCCGCGCCGATGTTCAGATGGCCGACTTCACTGTTGCCCATGAGACCTTCCGGCAATCCAACGGCAAGCGACGAGGCATCGAGCTCGGAGTAGCCCTGGGCAGTCTTGGAATCGGCCTCGGCAAAACCGGACATGAAGGGAGTCTCTGCAGCGAGGATAGCATCACCATCCTTGCGGGAGTCGGGGCCGGCAACACCCCAGCCATCGATGACGACTGGTTGGCCGTGTTAGCAATTTGTTATGGAAAGTCGGATCGCATTGCGGCGCAAGCACTTACTGAGGACAACTTTTTGGTCGACCTTAGCCATAATGAACTGCCGAGATAGTTAATTTCCGGACAACTTTTAACTAATTTTTGAGGGAATTGAGAAAGGGCAGAATCAATTACCAAAAGAAGGAGGTCAAGTAGAAGTGAGAGTAGGAGAAGAAGGTGGTGGAGAAAAGGAGGGAAGAGACGAAAGAGGAAAATATAGGTTGCTCGGTGAGAAGCAGTCGTATCGGGTGATGAAAATGGAGGGGGAGGGGTGTTCCGCCGGTGACGCTTTTAGGGTGAGTGTCAGTCAACTGGCCTGCTGGTGCGACGTCACTTCTCTTTAGTCAAAAGTCACGGGCGGCGACCGGTTGTTCTCGTCCGTTCTGCGTTACCCGTTCCGACTCTTCCCTAAACAATTACCCTGATCAGAACTACCTTCACCTTCGTTCGTCGCAAAGCCCTTACCTGTCCCCGCAATGGCTTCTCGATCCCCGGCGGCGATTACTCCACTGCCAAAATTATCGTCGGCTCCCCAGACGCCCATCGTGAGGGATACAACGGCTGTACCATCAACAGTACCACAACCTGTCCCCTTCCCTCCTCCACAGACGTTCGATATCATTCCGCCATTGCACGGTCTGCTTCTCCGATTACTCTCACCACAGGCGAATACGGAAGGTGTATCAAATGACACACGAGCCGCCGAAGACTCTGGTGCAGCTACCGCTCCCACCGGCACCACGTCCACTGCAGCAGTCCAGTCCCAATCTCACCCACAACAACAGCAATCGGCTGCTGGGAACCAAAATAATGACGGCCATGGCGTAATGCCCACTGTTTCCTCTGCGGCACCAGGTAGCGCCTCCGCTGCGGCCGAAATAGCTGCGTTGAGTTCAAACGCGCCTCCACCGCTAGACATCAAAGACCTTCCTACCGAGGCCAGCTCCATCAAGATTCGTATACAGAAAGCACAAGCTGTGGTGGAGAGCCTGCCTGACGTTCACCGTTCAGTTGTGGAGCAGGAGAAGGAGATCAAAGAACTTGAGCACAGAATATCTAGACTCAAATCGGTCATCTCCGATTTTGGGAGAAGAGCCGACCCTGCGAAAACAGAGACAACAGAGATTGAAGCAGCTTGAAGGGGTTCCACCACGACAGGGTTGTCTATTCCACGGCGGATATTCCCACCGTAGGGTAACAGATTTGACCACAGAGATTGCCTTGTGATTTGCAGTCAGCGAGAGAGGGTATTGGATGCATCATGGAAGCACAGCTTGGATAACAACTTGCAAATCCCGACGATGGCTTCCCAGCGCCAGTGTGGATTGTAGACGAACACATCGGTTTGCTAAGATCTGGCTAAGCAAGGGATAGTAAAGCGTGCTAGATACCTTGGGGGCATTCAATGGATGCCGGCTTTCATGAACCCTAATGGCGTTGCTACATGGCAGACCTCGTTACAGCTAGCTGCCTGGCCCCGATAAATTTGGAGTTCACGTAAGAGGCCTGATTCATCCTTCTTAGAATGGCAAATGGAGGACATCAGAGAAAGAAGAATTACAGTGACATGATGGTGGATTCTGCCATCCCGATAGTATATCTTAGAGCGTTGCGCCTGGCATGCGTTGCTCGGGGAGGGGTGGTAGTATGTCGTGCTCACCCCTCAGTGACTCCCACGGTCCTCGTCCCATGTAAATGATGGTGGATCGTTATGTCTGCCACCAATTGATACATACAATTAACCTTTTCTTTTGCTCCTTTTCCCTTAAAATTAACCACCATTATTCTTAGTAATGTAGGTAATGAGGAGAAGAACAAACCCGATCTCCAACTGCACAATATTCGTAAACGCGAAAAGCGCACGAAATCATTGTTTGCATCTTCTCCAACAAAAAGAAAGCTGGGCTTGGTCTCCTCCGTACCGGATGGAGTACGGAGTATACGGAGCTATCATCATGTGACTCATAGCTCTCCATTAAGTTTTTCATTTTATACTTTTTTCATTTTTTCCCCAAGGGAATGACGACTAACCCCAGGTGGTTAGAGGCCCCTCACGGTTCCAACTCCGGGCGAATCAGTTTTCCGGTGAGGGGAGAACTGAGCTCCGATGTCGTTCCCGGTGGCCGACGCCCACGGTTAGTAGTACGAAAAAGTACTCCGTAAGATCCCTGGTCCGAGCCTGTTTCTATTGGATATGATAAAATGTTAAAAAGGCGGGACAGTCTTCCTGAGGCACCCAACACCCCACTAATACTACGGCCTGGTCTCTATTTTCTCTCTTCTGCTTCTGCTTCTCCTTCTTCCTCTTCTCTCTCTTCCTTTCACACTCCAATTCTCTCTCTACACATCTTTTCCCCCTAGTATTCTTTGCTGTACTAGCATCATCTTTCACAATGGCCACCTACGCTCTGTCGCAGGCCCACCGGGACGTGAGTATTGGTACATCTGAAATTTTTCGTGCCACAGTCACTGACTCATGAGGCAATGTAGCAAATGGAGAAGACTCTCGTTGAGTCCGATCCCGAAATTGCCCAGATCATGGTAAGTCCGATCTGATTCAGTCAAGATGGGTCTTGAACTAGTCTAACAGTTTGCAGGAAAAAGAGATTCAGCGTCAGCGTGAATCCATCGTCCTGATCGCTTCGGAGAACTTCACTTCTCACGCCGTTTTCGACGCCCTTGGCTCTCCTATGTCCAACAAGTACTCCGAGGGTTACCCCGGTGCCCGTTACTACGGTGGTAACCAGCACATCGATGCCATCGAGCTCACATGTCAGGCCCGTGCCCTGAAGGCCTTCAACCTCGACCCTGCCAAGTGGGGTGTCAACGTTCAGTGCCTGAGTGGCAGCCCTGCCAACCTGCAGGTCTACCAGGCTCTTATGCGCCCCCATGACCGCCTGATGGGTCTGGATCTCCCCCACGGAGGCCATCTGTCCCACGGTTACCAGACCCCCGCCAGGAAGTAGGTTTCACATCGTCTAGCAGTGGTTTCGTCGTCTCTGTTGCTAATTGAAAACTGCACAGGATCTCCGCCGTCTCAACTTACTTCGAGACCTTCCCCTACCGTGTCAACCTCGAGACTGGTATCATTGACTACGATGCCCTGGAGGCCAACGCTGAGCTCTACCGCCCCAAGTGTCTGGTTGCCGGTACCTCCGCCTACTGCCGCTTGATCGACTATGAGCGCATGCGTAAGATCGCTGACAAGGTCGGCGCTTACCTCATTGTTGACATGGCCCACATCTCCGGATTGATCGCTGCCGGTGTTATTCCTTCTCCCTTCGAGTACGCCGATGTTGTCACTACCACCACCCACAAGTCTCTCCGTGGCCCCCGTGGCGCCATGATCTTCTTCCGCAAGGGTGTGCGCAGCACCGACAAGACTGGCAAGGAGATCCTGTACGACCTTGAGGGTCCCATCAACTTCTCCGTTTTCCCTGGTCACCAGGGTGGTCCCCACAACCACACCATCACTGCCCTTGCTGTTGCTCTCAAGCAGGTTGACACCCCCGAGTTCAAGCAGTACCAGCAGCAGGTCTTGAACAACGCCAAGGCTCTGGAGAACGAGTTCAAGCAGATGGGCCACAAGCTCGTCTCTGACGGTACTGACAGCCACATGGTCCTGGTGGACCTCCGCGCCCATAAGTTGGACGGCGCTCGTGTTGAGGCTGTCCTGGAGCAGATCAACATTGCTTGCAACAAGAACTCCATCCCTGGTGACAAGTCTGCCCTTACTCCTTGCGGTATCCGTATTGGTGCTCCTGCCATGACCACCCGTGGTATGGGTGAGGAGGACTTCAAGCGCATTGCTCACTACATCGACAAGGCCGTCAAGATCTGCAAGGATGTCCAGGCTGAGCTCCCCAAGGAGGCCAACAAGCTCAAGGACTTCAAGGCCAAGGTTGCCTCCGAGACCGTCCCGGAGATCCTGGAGCTGCGCAAGGAGGTTGCCGCCTGGGCTTCCACCTTCCCTCTCCCCGTTTAAATGTGATACCAAAATTTTCTGTGTTTCATTTGTTTAGTCTTGCGAGTTCAACATCTTTGCGTCTAAAATGGATTGGGTGTGTTTTACTAGGGGTTTATATCGGTCTGCTTTTTCAACCTTACGCGGGTCACGGGATATGAGTATGTGAACGAACAAAATAGCATTGGATGGCTTTTCAACACCTCTTCAACAGGACAAAAGTTCATGTCTACATCATCGGGCTGGACCTCCAGCTCTTAAATGGATATGCTTGCCATTCACGAACATTTTTTAAATATACATTAATGAATTTTTTTTCACAAAGTTACATCCCAGTAACCCCCAGAACTGTAACGTAAGCAATGAAGATGTAGAGAACCAAGGATATTCATTATTATTCCCGCCTTAGGGCTCTATCGCGACGTCAAGTTTGAATCATCTAGATAACATTGTATAGCACAAACCAGTCATGCCATCATATCAACGCGCAATTTATGCCACAGACGTTTTAGTAAACCCCGAATGATACACGCAGTGGAAAAAAAAAAAAGAATAAGAAAAAGAAAAAGAATAAGAAAAAGAAAAAGAAAAAGAAAAAGACTATTAAGCCCAGAACAACTCTCGCCGATAGTTTATCTCCACCTACAACTCAACCCTTTCTTCCCAGCCCACGACGGGGTCATCATCTACAGTTCCCTCTTTCTGTTCCTGCCATGACTGGAAGAGCAACGTGGCGACATTCTTACCCATCAGCGCGCTTGTCTCCATCGTAGAGATGAAGCTCTCAATCCCACCGGTGTACCAGATATTAGGGGACAAGAGTGTCTCTTCGAATGTGACTCGTGGGTAGAGGAACGGGTAAGGATACCAGACCTTCTCGTGATGCCAGCTGATATCCTGCCGAGAGAGATCGCCAATAGTCGAGTTGTTCTTCACAGGATCGGATGGGCTCTCCAGACCCAAGATGCTTCTTACGAAGTCAGCTGATAGCTGTTCGGGTGAAAAGACCTTGTAGACGTAGTGTTTCGACGAGTTCTGGTCTGGGGATGCCGGGGGGTGGTCCACTGTTTGGAGCGTGCTGATACTCCAGAAACCAGTTGGACCCACTCCTGCCTTTTCGGAGCCCAGGTCCAGGTCGCTGGGAACGGTGGTAAGAATAGTTTCGGGGGTCTGGGCACTAGCCCCTTGGAGGTTAAAGAATTTGGGTGAGAGCTTATGTGGTGAGGAGAATAGGGTCACATGGAGTGTTACAAAAGGAATCTCATCCGGCTGTTTTTCCACGGGAGGAGTGATCGAGAGCTCGGAATGTTGCAAGGGACCAGCAATCACTACTTCGTCAAAAACGAGCTTCTGCTCCTTCGAGTTGTTGGCCTTGTAAGTTAGAGTTAAAGTGTTATCGGCATTACGTTGAATGGAAGTCACTGTGTGGTTTAGTCGAACATCGGCTTGCGCGGCCTTCAGCATTCCTTGAAAGATTTGCCAGTTTCCACCCTTGATAGACACTGCTCCATCTGTGGCCATGCATACCATAGACTCGAGGCCATGTATGAGACCCAGATTCTGTCCGTAGTTGACCCGTGTGCTAGCTTGTATGATATCCCGAGAGAAGTCAGGAGATATGTTATTCTCCTTAAGGAAAACGTCACCGGGGGTTGAAGTTGAGTCTAGCAAGCCCACTGCGGCGGCTGCGGCAGTCAGGGACCTAAAGGGAAACATAGGTTCTTCATAGAGTTTCAGGAACTTGTTGACTGTGCTTTTCATCAAGTTCTGGGTCCGAATGGGTGCCCAGCCGTAACGCCAGAGTAGCTTAGGAATGTTCCACCAACTGTTACTCTGGAGCACAAAGACAAACTGCTTCCCATCCCAGACGCCGATACTATCATCAGCTTCCTTGGGCCGGGCTGCGTCAGCACTATCGACAAACAGACCGAGCTCTTTGGATGCGTTCATGAGGTTGTAGTTGACCTTGACGAAGATCGATGCACCTAGCTCCACGGGATATGCCGGATGGTCTAGAACATTTACTGTGGTTGACCGACCGCCCACATACGAATCACGTTCGAAGACAGTGATATTGACTGGAATTGAGGATGCATCTGCATGTTTGCGGAGAGAGTATGCAGTGGAAGACCCTCCCGCTCCAGCTCCTGTGAGCTTCATTAGCCTCTAGTATACCAATGTTAGCCCGAGCCTAGTTACTCACCGATTATTGCCACTCGCTTAGGGACAGTATCAGAGGCTTGAGTGAATGAATGCTCCTTGGCATCACCGAGTGATATAAAACACAGTGCTATGACATAGTGTATGGCTAATAGCCAGAATGAAGGTTTAACAAAGACCGCCATGGGCAAATGAACGGCACTAAACTGTGAGGACTCCGTATTAGCGGCAAAGTATCCAAGCGATCATGGAACGTGCACTACTGCACTGCTCAATACTCAATAGCCACACTACACTGTTCTTCTGATAAATTGCGGTTAATGTTATGATTTAAGGATATGAGGAAGGACGGCAGTTGCAGAGAGATAGAGAATGAGAGACGTCAGACAACAAGGCACAGAGCTGGTGACGAATCACAGAGTGGTACGGGGTTGTATTGGGGCTAGTCCCCAACTGGACTAGCGTATCGTGAACCCCGTATCGCTTATCGGCCTAATCTTTTTTCTACTGTCTTTTTTTTTCTCTACTGGACGAATGGAGGGGCTGATTGCTTTTATATGTTGACACCTTCTGTGCACACTTATTGTCAACTGTTCATAAATCAATATAGTCAATTTCCTAGTCTAGTTTCCTTGCCAATTGTCTCGCCACCATATTAACCTCACAACTATGGATCCTTATGACAGTGACTCGTCGGGGTTTGAAGAAGAGGACTTCACGGAGACCAGTGTGCTTTTGGGATACGCTTCGGAGGAGCTGTTAGATGACTCGATTAGTCACCTCGGAGGTTGGCCAGTATGTGATTGTTTTAGTCTCAATGGATATATGATGAGCACACAAATACTGATCACCTTTGACTTCAGACATGGCTGGACGATTCGACCCCGCCCCCAGGCGAATTCGCCAATTGCAAAGTCTGCAACAGCCCTATGATCCTCCTCCTCGAATTGCACGGTGACCTCCCCGAACACTTCCCGGATGATGAGCGACGACTGTATATCTTCGGCTGCCCCAGAAAACCGTGCAACCGCAAGCCCGGCAGTATCAGAGCCTTACGCGCTACACGGAAGTTGAAGAGCCAGCCAGCGCCCAAGAAAGAGGAAAAGCAGGAATCAGTAAAGGAGAAGGAAGAGCAAAAGAAGCAGGCTGAGGCTCCCAAGCCGGATCTTGGAGCAAGTCTGTTTGGGGCGACCTCTCTCACTGGAAGCGTCTCTGCGAACCAGAACCCTTTCTCGACCAGTTCGTCCTCCGCACAAGCCAGCAACCCGTTCGCTGCCCCTCTTGCAGCACCCCAACCGGCCAAACCAGCCGCTTCATCGAACCTGTCCGGAAATTCCCTTTCCGAATCATTTGCGGACAAAGTTCGAGTTTCCTCCCCGCCCCCGACTATCAAGCCACCCGAGGCCGGCCCCGCTGCACCTTGGCCTCCGCAGTCCGACTTCCCCTCACCGTACAAACGGTACTATTTAGATGCGGAGTACGAAACGCTTTCTCGTCCACCTACCCCGAAAATTCCCGATAACGTTGTCATTGATAACACCGAAGATGATGCCAATGGTGGCTCGGGCGCAGACCTGAAGGATGCCCTAGAGTCTGATCTGGACAAAGTCTTCATGAAATTCTCAACCCGTCTTGGACATAACCCCGAGCAGATTTTGCGATATGAATTCCGTGGCTCTCCCCTCCTCTATTCTCACACCGATGCCGTCGGAAAGCTTCTTTACGACCCCAAGAACCCTACCTTGGGCGCTAAGGTGACTACTACTGGAGGTCCGAGCCGCATGCCACGCTGTGAATACTGTGGTAGCCAGCGTGTTTTCGAGCTGCAGCTCGTGCCTCATGCCATCAGCATGTTGGAGGATGGCCGTGAGGGGGTTGGACTGGGCCCCAAGGATGATGGCATGGAATGGGGAACCATCATTCTTGGTGTCTGCAGCAAGGACTGTGGCCCCGAGAAAATTGGGGAAGTCGGTTGGCGTGAGGAGTGGGCGGCAGTGCAGTGGGAAGAATCAAAATAAACGTACAGGCTCATGACTGATGTTCTATAATGCTTATGACCGCATAGACACTATCAACTCAAGTTCAAAGATTTATATCTACTTTTTCCCGTGTATCCTATGCAGATGGGGTGCTATGCAGGGTGGCTCGCTCAGTATTACGGTTAGACACATGATCTCCTACTGGAGTAGATGCAAAACGGCCCCAGTTACTGAGAATTCTCAGTCATCTTTGCTCTATGGGATATCTTCTCGAATATAAAGAAGTAAATAACGGAGAGAAAGAAAAGTTGTTTTTCACATAGACAACATCATGATGATGAGAAACATAAGTGATGTCGAGCAAACACGTAACGCCACATGCGCCGGTCCTGACTTCCCAACCCTCCTCATGCAGGTCTATCCCCGTCATCATCATCTTGGGCTCCGAGCTCGTTTCGTGGGTCTGAAGCGGACATAATCCTTTTACGAGCCTTTTCAATCAAGAAAAGACGCGAAGCGAAGATCCATATACACGGTTGGATCTTCGAGGCATAATATTAGCAAGAAAAGGAAAGAGACACGGTTAGATTTTCGATTAGAGGAGACTCCGCTCAAGCGGCCTGCTCGAATCCCCGTCTGATAACACGGCCGAACATCTCAACACCGACGCGCTCGCTCTTGACTTCGCTGCGGGCCTCGTTCTCCTTGTTGGTGGGGACCTTGACAACAGTGCCGTTGGGGCCGGACTTGTCGACCTCCCAGCTGCAGACCTCGGCGACGAACTTCTCAAGGGCCTCACGGCTCCTCAAATCAAGCCATTGCTCGAGAACCTCGGCGTTGATCTCACGGAATGCCTTGCCAACCTCAACAGCGATGCGGATGCGGACCAGCTCCTCGAAGCCGGCGACATCGGCGGTCAGATCGGCGTAGAGATCATCAGAGTTCAAAGTGGACCAGAACTGAGCGTACTGGGCAGACTCAAGGAGCGTGGAGAGGCGCGCGAGCTTCTGAACAGATTCAACGAAGTCGGAGGTCTGAGATGCGGCCTGGGCCTCGGCGTGGAGGGGAAGGGCTGAGTGTGGGCGGGGAGCAGGGCGAGGCAAAGAGAGAAAGCAGGGGATGGGAAAACGGTAAGCGCCTTAGCAAGGATGTTGGTGACGGTCTCAGCCTGGAGAAGGTGGGGGTTGAATTGGTAGCTGCCCAGGAGGTGTTTAAGTTAGCGAGAACGATGAGAAAAGTCCAGGAAACTCATTCAGCGACAGTTGATGATTTTGAGGGCTTTATCAGAAGTATGTAATCCTCGACATCCCTCATTTTGAGGTGTCCGTTAATAGGAAACGTGATAATAATAAAAGTATCTCTCCATCATTGAAGCCCGGCGATATTGAATTTGCAAGGTCGAAGCTCTCGGAACAATTGCGTAAACAATCAAGCGCATGCACTCACAGCTTCAGCAATGCCAGGTTGGCATAGCAGTCGAATGTCCTGTCCTCGCACTGTTGTACAACGTAGTCCTGGAAAACGGTGGTCGTCTCGGGGTTGTATCTGTCCAGGCCGTTGAGGATGGCATCGATATTGGCCGGCCGAGTCTCACACTTGTCGAAAGCGACACCCATCTTGACGATTTCTGGTTTCCTTGAAAAGATCGTTTGAAAAGAAGTTACCCCGGATGGGAATTTCAGTGTGGACCTTAACGGAAACGGGCGATAGCGAAGCGCGTGGTACTAATCGGACTGCGGGATGGCTTTTTTGGTGGGATTTTTCGATTGTGTCGATGTCGATGTGCGGGCACTCGGAGCATCGGAGCCCCAGAACGGCATGTTTCTCCGATTGGTATGTAGATCGAAGTATATCCAACCATCTTGCTGATTACTCCGCATTATAGGTAAACCCCGCTAGACACGTTATAAATACTGGTCCAGTGACCTCTGGAGAATGATTTCAGTTGGGAGTCTCTTTTCTCTTCGGATGGTGGAAAGCCTTCAAGTGAACGTGCACCATGCGACTTCTTATATCTTGCCTTACCCAGCCACTAGCCCCCTTGTTGCTGGGATTGATGACGACAGCAACGGCTCAGTCCATTGATTATTCACAATATGTGAATCCTTTGATAGGCTCTGAAGGCCCCATGCCCGGGAAAGGCTATGGAGGAGGAGACATTTTTGTTGGTGGTGCTCGGCCATTTGGCGTAACCAAAGTTGGGATTGACACGACAGCTGCAAATTGGTCGATTGCAGTGCTTAACGGTGGCTGGACCCCTGATGGGAATGTGACCGCCATTAGTATGTATCCCTAGCATGAGTTTCCCTATTCGCTCGCAAAGACCTGAACTTTTATGCAGGCATGATGCACGAGAGTGGGACTGGAGGCGCACCGAAATATGGGATTATCCCACAGATGCCTCTCACCGACGTGTCGCCGCCAGTGAATATACTCGATAATCTCACATATAGCCAACCGAGGGTATAGTTATGCTCTACTTATATCAATCATTCATTCATAAGTTTACAGGCGAATAGGTCGGCCAAGACACCGCTAGTGTGGGCTATTTCAAAACTCAACTACAAAATGGCATAAAAGTGGAATTATCGGCATCCCGCCACGCCGGAATCATGCAGTACTCTTTCCCAAAAGGCGAGAAATATGTCTTGGTTGATGTCTCGCACGTACAAACTCCTTTGCCACAATGATTCAGTTCTAGTGCGTAATCTTACTGCCTTATAGTACCTTCCTGGATCACCAAGTGACCCGAATGGCCAATACTATATTGGTGGAAAGATTCAAGTTCATGAAAATGGTAAAGAATATAGCGGATATGGGACCTATGTTGGTGGCTGGAATAATGGTTGGTTGTCCATATATTGATCTCGAATCTATGCTGAACACCAATAGGCGCCCCGTTCACTGTCTACTTCTACGGGGAGTTTTCCGAAACCCCGGCATCGGCCACTACGTTTACAGGTAGAAACACCGACCCAATGAGGCAGTATCAAACCTTCTCAAATGGGGGAATGAGCTATCCAACCTATGGTAATGAGTCGGATACGGCAAGCTCAGGACCTATGAATGACCGCGTAGGCGCGCTCTTTCGCTGGGATCTTGTGGAAGAATCACAAATCCGTTCAAAGGTCGGCATCTCGTTCATATCCACCGAGAAAGCTCGCTCTTATATCCAATCCGAAATACCCTCATGGGATCTTAGCGATGCAGTAAAATCGGCAGTAGAAGAATGGAATCAAGACGTCCTCAGTAAAATAAGAGTGCCCATTGATAGTACCACGAACCAGACACATGTGCGACTACTATACAGCTCCCTCTACTTTATGCACTTGATGCCATCCGATAGGACAGGCGAGAACCCACTTTGGCATTCGGAGGAGCCCTTTTGGGATGATTTCTACACTCTTTGTAGGTATATACCCTACTTGAGTTCGCTTCTTGGGCTAAATCTTGACTAGGGGACATCTTCCGGTGTACAATTAGCTTCTATCATATATTTCAGCCTTCTTACTACGAGTCCATGATCCGGGGTCTTATTGATATCTGGAGGTAGGAGCTCTATCACCTGGAAAGACTGAACCTGAGCCTAACCACTATACACAGATACCAGGGCTTTCTACCAGATGGGCGATCCGGAAACTGGAATGGATTGGTTCAGGGAGGCTCGGATGCTGATAACATGTTAGCTGATGCATACGTCAAAGGTCTTCGTGGCGCGATTAACTGGACGGATGGTTATGCAGCAATGAAAACAGATGCTGATGTTATTCCATACAATACCTACGATCCCACAGACTTCTCCGCAAGCACGAAGGAAGGCCGCGGAGCCCTAGGAGACTGGATTGAGCTAGGCTATGTATCGCAAGACCGGAACACGCGCTGTATTTCCAGGACTGTTGAGTACAGCCTCAATGACTTCGCTCTCAGTCAGGTTGCAGCGGGCGAAATGCCCAGTGATCGGGAGAAGTACCTCAATCGGTCTGCAGGGTGGCAAAAGATTTGGAATCCAGACGTGCAGAGTTTAAATTTCACAGGGTTTGTGGCACCAAAATTTTCCAATGGTACCTTCAACAGTAGTGGATACGATCCGTTATACTGCGATGAGTGCGAGTGGAGCTCCTATACTTATGAGGGTACACCATGGGGTGAGTTGCAATCATTGTTGTTGGTCTAAGGGATGATCACTGAGATCAGGTTGCTTTAGAATATTCCTTTGTCATCCCGCATGACATGGAGACACTGATTGAACTCATGGGCGGCACTGACACCTTCGAGTCCCGCCTAGACCTTATGGTAAGAGACCCAAGAGTACAGTTGACGGGCGCTTACGCCATGCGTAGTTCAAACCGAACATGTCTGTTCAAGATTTGGGCCCCAATGGTGCCGGTATCACCACACTTGTCAACATTGGGTATGTCAGGGTTGTAGCACTGGGACAAGCTGGACCTAGCTAACCTATTCAACAAAGGAACGAGCCTGATTTCGCTACACCTTACCTCTACAACTATATCAATAAACAAGCCAAGAGCGTGCAAAGATCCCGCAGCCTTGGATCCCAATAGTAAGGGGGAGACCAGAAGATACCTTACTCCAAACATGCGGTGCTAATTCGAACTTGTGTATTAGCTTCAAAGATGCCCCTTACGGTGTCCCGGGAAACAGTGACGCCGGGGCAATGAACTCATGGCTTCTATGGCAGATGCTTGGGATTTACCCAGTTGTCACGCAACCCGTGTACTTGATCTCGTCTCCATGGTTTCCCGACCTCAATATGACCATTAATGGGAATCAGACCTTGCGGATCACTGCGACAGGGCTAGATCAGGGGTATTATGTGCAAAGCGTGAAAATAAATGGCCAGCCCTGGGAGAAGAACTGGTTCGAGCACAAAGATCTCATGGAACAAGGTGGCAGCATTGAGTTCGAACTTGGCTCTGAGATGAAGGCTTGGGAGACCGGCAGCGTACCCCCTTCACCGGGACACATGACGATATAAAAAGGCAGAGAGATCTCCTGGCGTGCTAAATTTAAATATAGTATCTATAATGAGATTGCCGCTGCCAATGACCTAATGCACAAGGTAATCTAACGAGAAATATATGAGGGGTGTCTACTCCGTACTAATAGTACAGTGGGGTGGTCGGATCGCCCTAGTTCCGTATGGATTTCGTATTGATAATTCGATCTCCATTCACTGGTGATTCCCTTTAAAATGGATGAATTTCTAGGATTTGATAACATACCCTATCCTTTTTGTGCAGGCTGTAGTTGATTAATGCATACGATCTTCGCTTTGTTCGCGCGTTCTCCTAGACAAACTTCGCAGCGCGCGGGCACTATACGAATGCAGATTAGACGTTTTGCCGTCTATCGATGGAACATCGAATTGACGTAGTGATGATTAACAATAAGCTTAAGTCAACACGAAGTCAATCAGCCAGTGGTCAGGTTTGGGCGATCGGCCGTTGTCGAAGGATTCGCGAGCCTTGTTTGCCGAGATTGCGTCACTCCCGCGACTATCCAACATCCGATATATCGGCGGCATTGGGAGAATGTGCATTGCTCCAGCAAGGCTGTCGTCAAAAGACAAGGGGGAAGTAACCGAGGGATATTATAATCAGAACGTGGGGCAAACTCATCCTCTGTAGAAAACTTCCTAAAGTGCAATCAAGAATGCGGGTCCAACCCTCCTCCGATTTGCATCCAACGGCACATGGAAGCGGAAGCGCCATCGCACAGACGGCATGCTTACTGCATGTGAATAAAAGATAAAAAAAAAGAGCTAAGACAGCCCGCTGTGTCCTCTTATTGGAAGGAAGTCACGGATCGGAAGTTAATGGCCTTGCTTTAGGCGATGGAGATCGTCGCAGGATCTGTGACCCTCGCAAGACGTGTGGTTGACGTCAGTGAGTGAAAAATCCGCATATCGATGATGCTGTGCGGAAGCTTCATATATGTTGGGTATTTTGTCCTGGTGGTCATTACCATTTCCATGCCTCGCAGACTCTATAAATAATTAGAGTAAACTTGCTATCGGTCCACCATCATGGTAAGTTGCGAATGGATCCCATGGATCCCTCCATATCGGCCCGAACCAGGAACCGTGGATAATCCAGCCTCTGATCATTCAATACCAATGGTCCCTGTTAACATTTATACTTAGGCTCCAACCTTCTTACTTCAGGCCCGTCAAGCCTCTGATAACTGTCCCGACAGCATTTCGGGTGGGGGCATTGCTGGAATCGTCATTGGGTCGATCGCGGGCACGCTATTGCTTCTGTGGCTCTGGAGAGTGTGTTCGTTGCCCGGGGCCCAGGGCGGCGGAGAGCCCGATTATGGTTATAGCAGCTATGGTGGTGGAGGAACTGAGACTCGCCACCGGCATCGACGTCGACGAAGTCCAACGTACTATGAGTACGTGGAGAAACCGAGCGTGAGGAGACCAGCGAAGGTCTATCTCAGCTGAGATGATATGGATGGAGCACGTGGGATGTATAAATATATTTATGGAAACTCAACAACCCCTTTCCGGGTTTGGCTGGGATGTCAGGTGCTGTGGAATGCCCGGAGGCTGTCACTATTAAACTGTATTGAACGAACGGTACGACGTCATGATTCAGGAAAATACCGACATAATACCTGCCGACTGCTATCGGTCAGGTCGGTCTGGAGATGGAGCCACTACACGAACTTTTATGATGAACGGACTTTGCGTTTCAGTCTGAACCACACATGGGGCGCGGTGTAACATCGTGCGGATTTTGTATGGCCCAAGGATATTTTTTTCTTCTTCTTCTCAAGCACAACGTAAGGGATGTTCATGAGAACCTTACATCTATAATAACATTCTTGAAGTGGTCGCAGATTGTTTCAAATGCATGTAATTCGTACTCCGTATTGTATGCGGACTGTATGTACGTATGCAGGGACAATACATGTACACTTGAGGTCTTTAATTAGAAATTTCGTCGAAGTGCTACCACACACTCTTCTAATAATAAAATCGCCCAGCACTTAAAATCTTTGCCGGGGCATTGCCACCGGAGCCACTCACCGCTGGAGAATTATAGCAAAGGCGCCTATGGCATGGTACTACGACTGCACAGTATTCAATTTGTAAGGCCAAGATGGATGGATCCTTTGTTGCCAACGCCGAGGCTAGTTTCACTTATTGGATTCCACATCTTGCATTTTCATTTGCTGTGGTTCAGGGGGGGATTTAACTCGGAAGGGCCACCGTCACGGGTGCCACCGTGCCACCAGGTTTATTATACTCCAGGGAAAAAAAATAATATGAATGATCTTCCTTCGTAGCCGTACCCGAAATTGTGAAGATCAAGACGTGTTCGTCCCAAGTTCCCCGCGTATCACATATATGACAGAAATATCCTACCCTTGATAGGGGGTCCTCTCCTAAGAACTACTAGTAGTCGTATCATCCCATATAGTGCGTTTCCGTGGGTTTTCCAGATCAAGTTTCAAGGGCCTTATCAAAACCCCTGCAGAATTTGTGTGATTGGCAGCGATAGCCCCAGATTTGTTTGACCTTTCAGGGCCGGCGCAACGCTAGTTCTGATGCGGTTAGGGTGAGGGATAGGGACCCTAAGCTACTTACCACGCTAGGCTAGCCGACCAGTTGCACTAGCCACCCTCGGCATTAGTGCGTGCATCCAAGACCGATAGATTCCCAGTTTTGGACTGCTCAAACCTACCCCTTAAACCATTGGGACCACCAATTAATACTGCAGATGGAAGGAAAGAAAAAATGGATACAGAACGCCGCTTGGCCAGTGCCGACGACAGAAAAAGAAGGGCAAGAAAAAAAGGACGCTAAGAATAATTACCCGGTTTAATTAAAGCAATGGAAATCGCCGCCATGGTTGTTCTTCTCAACCCTCCTGTCGTTCCCCTCCCATTCCCACCGTTCGTCGTTCTCTTTCCATTCCTTCTCCCGGGTGGACATCAATTTCCTCGTGCGACGTGATCGCACATCCAGTCTTTAGTTCGGATATCGTCACTCTTTTATACTTGGCCGCTGGTGAGAGAGAATCGATTGTTCGTCGTATTACCGACCCCCCTTTCCCTCCTTATCTGAGCCGAAACAACTCGTCGACTTGAATCCGGGGTTTAGCTTTTGCGTGTTCCACTCTGTTTTATATATCATCCACAATCACTTCGAGGAACGGGAGGGGTTTTCGAGACTACCTGTCCCTTCCCACCATGTCGCTCTTCAATGTACTGGCCCTGTTGATGGCCTTCGTCTGTTCGGTGACCGCTCAGACATGGACCGACTGTAACCCCCTCAACACAACCTGTCCCGCAGCACCGGCGCTGGGTACCAATCACACTTGGGTCTTCAATGAGACTATGGACGACAAGATTTGGGAGGTCACGAATGGCCAAATTGACTGGAAAGACACTGGCGCCGAATTTAGTATCAAGAAGAAACTCGATTCTCCAACCCTGCAGTCGAAATTCTTTATCTTCTTCGGCATTGTCGAGTCCCACGTCAAGATGGCGAAGGGCGGCGGTATCGTCAGCAGTGTGGTGCTTCAGTCAGCCGATCTAGACGAGATCGACTGGGAGTGGGTCGGCTACAATACCTCTGAGGTCCAATCCAACTACTTCGGCAAAGGCAACGACACCTCGTTCAGCCGTGGTGGCTTCCACTATGTGGAGAACGCCGATACCGAATTCCACAATTACACCACCTACTGGACTCAGGAGAAGCTCGAGTGGTGGATCGACGGCAATCTGGTCCGCACGTTGAAGCCTGAAGATGCCCTGGATGGTAAGAACTACCCACAAACGCCTAGCAACGTTCGTTTTGGTATCTGGCCTGCCGGTGATTCAAAGAACGCGCAGGGTACGATTGAATGGGCTGGTGGTGAGGTCAATTATGATGCCGGCCCTTATACTATGGTTGTTCAGAACGTGCGCGTGCATGACTTCCATACGGGCAAAGAGTACAACTACACAGATAACTCTGGTTCCTGGGAAAGCATTCAGGTTGTCTCGTAAGTCTTTTCCCTAAACCCGAACATCTATGACTTGGTACTGACATTGAGATTAGGGGTAATTCCACCACCGTGGAGGAACTGAACAAAGAGCCATCGAAGTCTCTGGCGGAGAAATGGGCAGCCCTGCCTAGTGCGGCTAAGATCGGTGTTTACTGCGGTGCCGCAGCTGCCGGACTTCTTCTTATCGCCGGAGGCGCATTTACTTTATCAGACAGCGCAAGAAGGGACGTCTTGAATACGCCCTCGACGACGCGAAATGGAACACTGAACGAAATGAGCAGAGCAGCCTGCAAACCACCTGGAAAGCAAGCGAATGGGGAAATAAAGGTTATCAACCGGTGAACTAGCCAAGACTTCGTCAGAAATACCTAGGGATACGACAACACTATCCCTGCGTTGATGATGAGAACGAAACAAAGAATGTTTTTCAGATGTCTTCTGCCACGCCACCTGCACAAAGGGTCTGCCATGCTGGGTCCTTGTGCATGTCACAGCAGAGGTCGAGCGAAATGATCTCGCGCCAGCTTTGCTGGCCAAAGTTGCGTGGGTTGGTCTTCAATCTCGGGGTTTCGGCGTCGTTTTGGCAGAGCGTATTGGGCTCATGATTTACCTCGAAATCCTCTTCCCTATTCTTCCCATTTTATGTCCATATTTATACCATTTACTAACTTTTTGTATCGTGTTTGCAACTGGACACTTTCTTTGATTGTATATACCAATCTGCATTGTATATCCAATTTTGCAGCCTTCTCTACTTTTTTCTCATTAGATGGCGGATGGCATACATAGCCACGCCTATTCTATCCCATAAGTTCCTCTTGGATAACCACATCTTACTTTGCCTATTCAGAGTTGAGCTTGCCCAGTGTGTTCAAGCTGCCGTACGAATTAGTGGTGATAATAATCACTTGGAAACATCATCGAACTCAAGGATTGGAGATGTCTTTTAGCCCGTCTACCAAAGTCCCACCAGGGGAAGACGATCTAGTGAATGAACCCAGAGCGGGGACTAAGGGGTACTGTGCAGGAGCTGATCTAAACCTATAGCTGGCGGCCTATAGCCACTTCTTCTCATCCGAACCTAAGGGCTTTGGCATGATATCCCAGCCAACCTTAACCCCTTGAATCGAGGCGGAATGGCGCACAGCGGTCATTTCACCAAAACCTGTTGCCCTTGTCTCCAGATATTCCGGAGGTACATCGGCTGTGCACGTATAGTCCTGTGACTGAAAACCATCTCTGCCGGGGAACTGTCCAAGCGACCGCAGATATTTCATTACCCCAGCAAGGGAAACACTGACCTCCCATGAACCGCCCTCTGTAGCTTGCTTGTACAGAGCAGCTTGGACACCTGACGCGAGGAAGTAGCCTGCCGCATGGTCCAAGGCTTGGCATGGCATTGGTCGTGCAGGCTCACCCGCACCGTAATGCTCCGCCTCGGATACATTCATACCGGAGCATGTTTGGACCAATGAGTCAAAACCACGCTTGTCTGACCATGGACCGGAAGGCCCATATGCAGAGAGATTGGCGCATATAATCCCGCGATGCGAGAACCGCTGAGCAAGTGCCTCGGGCGAGAGACCGCGGGCAGCCAGACTACCCGGTCGATACCCTTGAACGACGACGTGGGCGTCCTCAAGAAGCCGGGTGAGATCCTCACGGCCCTCCTCTGTCACCAAATCAAGCTGCACTGTTCGTTTCCCGCGACCCAGGTCACGATCCACAACTGGAAGGTCAGGAAGGTTTGGACTCGTCACCCAGAGAACGTCAGCGCCGTGAGCAGCCAATGTTCTCCCAGATAACGGCGCGGCGATCACCCGGGAGAATTCCAGGACTCGAAGGCCCCGGAGAGATTTGTCGGCGTTAGCTGCACGCATCTCTTGGGGAAGACCAACCGGTGCATCCCCGATCTTCCGAAGAAGAATAGGGAAGTCGGCAATGGCGCGGGCCTGCGGGAGGGCGTCCCATTCGGAGTAGCTGCGAAGAGCAGAGATCACCACATTCGCCTCAAACGCAGCAGATTCTAGGTCCGCTGAGCGCCACGATGCGATTTTGGAAGCAAACTCAGCGCGGGTGACATCCGGTGAGCATCCTACAAGAGCCGTCGCACCGTTGTGATGGTTGGTGAAGGAATCATGCACTCGCACATATCCATCTAAGGATTTGTGCAGTCCACTCAGAGGACCCCATGTGTCGGGTAAAGACTGACCGGAAAACGAGTAAAGCCTCTCCGATTTGAATTCGATCACGGCATGCCGCCGAGGAACTGTTACCACTGGAGTGGATATGGAATTGCGAAGGGCATGAATTTGAGCTGCAAGCAACGCGGAGAGACTGATCGTTGCCTGAGCAAGATCTGCTATCTTAAACGACGAGGGAAGACCTAGCTCATTCCCCTCGATATGAAGAGACCGAAGAGCCTCGTCAGGAAGACCCAAACCTCTCCATATGTACTCCACCGTGTCTTTCGCAGTAAAGGCGGTCCGGTCAGTGGCAACCGATTTAGTCAAGTAATTGGCTGAAGCACCACCAAGGGTGTTCTCGAAAGCCATGATGTTCAATTTGGCAGAGGTTCTAGTCAAGTACCTGGATGAATTCAGTACTCGGTTCATTAGAATCGAATCTTGTGAGAAATGCGAGAAAATGTATCGTCAAGTCACGTTGCCTGAAGGGCCAGTCACATGCTTTGTTGATTTTTATTCCTCGTCGTACTTCGACCCATCAAATATATACGATAGTTGTCTTGTCCGGAAGAACGGCACAACCCCATGACTCAATTTCTGCCTGTTCTCACCTCGGCATTGGGTGAGAGTGACCGAGCGGTGATAGGATTAATATACATTTCGAGGCTCACGCCGATCGGCTAATTTTTGTCACCGCCGAGCACGGTCTCCGATGGTCACTGCTGGTCAGTCGTACATTGAGCAAGAAATTAATTACATAAAAGACCACATAGACACAGTCTACAGTTTGGTCACTAAGGCACACGATACTTTATCATTCACCAAACACGGGTACTGTGCTAAATAAATATCTCAGTGGCTTATCAATATGCACACAGAATGAGGCATTTCCAAGTCATCTCGCTGAAACCACGCAACATCTTGTCGCATGACTGGCGGGGAAGCTATCTGGCTTTCAATGAGTGAAAGACCCCGTATAGGCACGAACAATGGCGGAGTATCTTAGTTCCGCTTGTCATGTATCAAGCCGACTACTTTCTGTGAGGATCACGATGGATTCAGCGGTGAAACACGCCTGATCCTCAAAGATAACGCCACGTTTGATGCGGTCAACATCATCAGTAATTGCTGCAAACAGAGCTGTAGAACCCAGATGCACATATGAACGAAACAGCAAACTTCCTTCTGGTAAAAGCCGGCGCAAAACATACCCGATTACCGATGAGAAGTCATGCTTCGACGCTTGTACAACTGACGACGCCCCTTTTCTGTCCTTGGAGCCAATATACGCTGGACCGGCCCGTTGTTGTAGTGATGGTGCTTCTCATCGGCGCTACAATCACCTAGAGCATAGGACTAGAGCGAAACGATCACTTCCTGGGGCTGTACCTTGTCTACGGTAAGGCTGAGAAGAGCTCGTGAATGGCTCGACTGTTCAATGGTTGGTTTATAGAAATAACTGTAAGACGTCCTTCCCAGTATTTTACAGGATCACTTATGTGCGCTCTTGATCTCAGAAATCTTACCTTTCTCTAATAAATACCGAATGCCTTTCTACCTGTTTTCCTGGCTTAACACCGTCTTATACCGGCAGCATTCACTTGCGAAGCTCAGAGAAATATACTTAGTTAGCTATCACAGGTCCTTCGTCCCGATATATTGAAGACCGAGCTAATCTCGGTCCGACTCGCTATGGAGGAGACGAAACAAATCCCAATTCCAGAGCCCAAAGGCCTGCCTCTATTGGGGAACATCCTAGATGTTGATTCCGAGGCACCAGAGAAAAGCTTTCAACGGTTGGCGGAAACCTATGGTATATGATATATCCCTTTAAGCATACACTCTACTGCTCTGGCTGCTGTAGCTATATTCTATCGCTTTATACCAAGTATATCTTTTAGCACCGCTAATGATACGCGCTATAAGGTCCGATCTTTCGGCTGCATCTCGCCGGAGCATCAAGAGTGTTCATAAGTACTCACGAGCTCGTTGATGAAGTCTGCGATGAGGAACGATTCACAAAGGTTGTAACCGCTGGATTGAGGGAAATTCGAAACGGCGTTCAAGATGGTCTGTTTACGGCGGATTATCCTGGGGAAGATAATTGGGCGATCGCACATCGCGTCCTGGTTCCGGCTTTTGGGCCGTTGATGATTCGAGCCATGTATGAAGGTGTGTTATTCACCGCGTCAAACATTACATGCTAATCGGAAGCGTGACAACATATAGACATGTACGATATTGCAAGCCAGCTTGCTCTGAAGTGGGCACGGCAGGGGTCTGCTGCGACTATAATGGCCAATGATGACTTCACTCGTTTGACGCTGGACACTATCGCGCTCTGTTCCATGGGAACTAGGTTCAATTCTTTCTACAGTGAAGACTTGCATCCTTTTATCAAAGCAGTTGCTACGTTACTGCAGGGATCCTCTGATAGGACTTTCCGTCCGACATTTCTTAACAACCTGCCTACGAGGGAAAATAAAAAATACTGGAATGATATCAGTCTTCTACGAACTTTGTCTCAGGAGTTGGTCGATGCACGGAGGAATAACCCAAAAGACAAGAAGGACCTGCTTAATGCCCTCATCCTTGGTCAAGATCTTCAGACTGGCCAACATCTCAGTGACGACTCAATTATCAACAATATGATCACATTCCTTGTTGCGGGTAAGGGCGTTGCGCCTATGCGTTGGTTTGTTACCCTTATGACTGACCTTTTCCATAGGTCACGAGACGACATCTGCCACACTGACATTCCTTTTTTATTATCTACTGAAAAATCCGCATGCATACCAGAGAGCACAAGAAGAGGTCGACACGGTAGTCGATCAACGGAAGATTACAGTAGAAGATTTGTCAAAATTGTCCTACATTGCAGCCTCACTGAGAGAGACACTGCGACTCCAGGCTCCAGTTCCTTTAATCGCCTTTCATCCTCATCCTACTAAGAATCGTGAAGATCCAGTAACTTTAGGGAAGGGCAAATATGCTTTAGGCAAGGATGAGCCAGTGGTTCTTATCATGGGAAAGGTACATCGGGATGCGAAAGTCTATGGTGATGACGCAGAGGAGTTCAAGCCAGAGAGAATGTTGGATAAAAACTTTGAAAACCTCCCTAAGAACGCGTGGAAGCCATTTGGAAACGGTATGAGAGGATGCATCGGGCGCCCATTTGCCTGGCAAGAGATGTTGCTTGTGGTGGCCATGCTGCTGCAGAGTTTCAATTTTGAGATGGAGGATCTCGGCTATGATCTTCGAATCAAGCAGTCATTATCAATCAAACCAGAAGGCTTCCATATGAAGGCAACGCTCCGAAGAGGCCTAGATGCGGCCAAGCTAGCGAGCTTCTTGAACGGCGGTGGCGATCTGTCGTCCAGTGCTCCTCGGATACTCAATGGCGAGAAAAAGTCCAATACAGATGTGCGATCTTATGTGAAGCCTATGCATATATTCTTTGGTAGCAATACTGGTACCTGTGAGGCTCTGGCTCGGAGGCTAGCCAATGACTCTATGGGATACGGTTTTGCGGCCAGGGTGGAAAGTCTGAACTCAGCCATAGAGAAAATTCCTAGACACGGTCCTGTCGTCTTCATTACCGCATCCTATGAGGGACAGCCTCCGGATAATGCCGCTCATTTCTTCGAATGGCTGAAGGGGCTAAGGGAAGCCGAGTTGGACGGAGTAAACTACGCTGTATTCGGATGTGGTCATCGTGAGCTACCCTCTGCTTTATGATTGTCATTTAGTTGTTCTTGAATGTGTATTTGCTAATGAGCTGAGACTGTCAGATGACTGGTCAGCCACGTTTCTTCGCATTCCCAAAGCTATCAATGATCTGATAGAGAAGCACGGTGGAATCCAGTTATGTGATATGGGTGTGGCTGATGCCGCCAATTCAGACATGTTCTCTGACTTCGATACCTGGAGCGAGTCCATCCTCTGGCCGGCAACCAATTTGAAGTTTGGCCGTGAACCACCAGAGGGAGATGCACACTCCAAGTCTGTCTTACAGGTCGACGTCACTTCAAGCATGAGAGCTTCCACGTTGGGCCTTCGGCTGCAGGAAGGATACGTACTCGAAAACAAACTGCTCACAGCACCCGACGTTCCAGCCAAGAGAATGTTGCGATTCACACTACCACCTGATTCGACCTATCAATGTGGCGATTACCTCGTCGTGTTACCTGTAAACCCAGCCCATCTTGTCCGCCGCGCAATCCGCCGGTTTAAACTATCATGGGACTCTATGCTTACCGTCTGGAAGCCATCGCATGCTCCAGATGGGATCACGAACCTGCCCCTCGAGACGCCCATCTCCGCTTTCGAGCTCTTTTCCACGTACGTGGAGCTATCTCAGCCAGCATCCAAGCGAGACTTGATCACCCTCGCAGAGGCAGCTATCACAGATGCAGACACTCAAGCAGAATTACAGTCGCTCACCGCCAGCCCTAATCGCTTCACAGAAGAAGTCATCAACAACCGGCTAAGCCCCCTCGACATTCTCACACGCTACCCCTCCATCAACCTACCACTGAGCACTTTTCTCGCCCTGCTACCCCCCATGCGAGTCCGCCAATACTCGATCTCATCATCCCCCCTAGCTAACCCAGCAGAATGCTCCATCACATTCTCAGTGCTCAACTCACCCCACGTATCAACGGAAAACAGACGATTCGTAGGTGTAGCATCGACCTACCTCTCCTCACTCCAACCAGGAGACCGCGCCCAGATCTCCATCCGCGCCCCAAACAACAGCGGCTTCAAGCCCCCATTGGAAGAGAAAACCCCGATGATAATGGCATGCGCAGGAAGCGGTCTAGCCCCTTTCCGCGGTTTCATCATGGATCGCGCGGAACGGATCTGCAGCGAACTACTTGCCGACCATGACCATCCTGGCACAGGAAAGCCAGCGAGAGCTATGCTATACATCGGCTGTCGCACAAAGGGCAAAGATGATATCCACGCGAGCGAGCTAGATGAATGGAGTCGGCAGGGGGCTGTGGACGTCCGATGGGCGTACAGTCGCCCGACTGACGGGTCACCGGGGTGGCATGTCCAGGATCTGATGTTTGAGGATCGGAACGAGCTACTTGAGTTTATTGACCAGGGAGCACGGGTCTATGTGTGTGGCGGGATGAATGTCGGCCAAGGAATTCGCCAGATATTCAAAGATATGTTCATCGAGAGATGGCTGGAGAATGGGCACGGTGGTGATGAGGATGTGGCTGCTGAGGAATTCTTGGATGGGCTGAAGACTGAGGAGAGGTATGCGACTGATGTGTTTACGTAGTTCGTTACTGCCCTGGGGTAGTAATCTTTATTATTTAGAGGACGATCAAATTGACATAGAATGGGTGTTGGACATT